TGTTATAATATGTTACAAGCTTAGTAAACAGATATTATTTTTGAGTGTCTTGATTGAATATTTAAAAGTCTTCTGGAATAAAAGCTCTAGAATGAATTATATATATTTGAGGCTAATGTCCGTCTGTAGGCAAAACTCGTCCCACTTTTAAAGTACGATTTGGATGAAACTTCGCACGATTTTTCAGCATCATAAGGGGAAGTTCCTAACAAAGTTTCATTACAATTGGGACTCTTATGGAAAATTATTTAGTGTATGTGTCCATTTTTAAAGAAATAAGTCAATAACAACTTTATATCGCACCAAAATGAAAAATGTTATAAAATAGACACTTGCGAAAATGAAAATATAACAGGACCTTATTTTATAATGTTTTTTCCTAAATTGCTTCTTTAATGGAGAAATAGCACTTCTTTCCTTTTTAATAATATACATTAATTTTGTACATTCATTATTATCAACTAAATTATTATTTTTTTAATGAAACTTCAAAATTGTGGTAAATTGAGTTTAATGCAGAATTTAAAAGTAAGTCTTCCTGGTGGAGAAACATTGTGATATTTCAGAAGAAAGGTGACTTTTTCTGCTGAAGAATCCAAGCGTGCGCTATGAATTGAATTGTTCTGTGATCGAAGGAATCGCAAGTCCTTCGCACAGAGTTCATTGCATATAAATTTGCAGGAATTTTGTAGTAACTCGATGTCCGTAAGTCACATAAGTTTGTTTTTATTTCAGTATGAGTATAAAGTGATCAAAAACATCGCAAATCACGATGCTAAAAATTGCCTAACGGAAAAAGTGACTTATCACAGAGAAAGTCTGAAACTTTGAGAAAAGGGCCCGGCATTGCCAGGTGGTTAGGGCATTCGACTCGCTGTCTGAGGGTCGCGGGTTTGAATCCCAATAACACCAAACATGCTCGCCATTTCAGCCGTGGGGGCGTTATAATGTGACGGTCAATCCTACTATTCGTTGGTAAAAGAGTAGCCCAAGAGTTGACGGTGGGTGGTGATGACTAGCTGCCTTCCCTCTAGTCTTACACTGCTAAATTAGGGATGGCTAGCGCAAATAGCCCTCGTGTAGCTTTGCGCGAAATTCAAAACAAACAAACTTTGAGAAAGAAAATGAAACACCAAGACGCAACCTAGAGGAAGAAAGAGATAGGCTTGCTCACCAAGTTATGAGGCAAGATACAAAAGCACATCAAACTGTTCTCCAAGATGCAGTTAGAAGAAGTCAGGAGCAATTTAGTGACAGAGAAGTACACCATTCAGTTCGCCAAAATCCTGACATAATAGCTGCTCGTAGGGCGACATTTCTGCGGGTATAAAATATTACAACATATTCCAGACTGAAATATTTTTAGTATGGAATATGCCAAACGAGTCTTAAGAAGACCAAAATGAGTTTCAAAGTAAAGTGAGGAAGTAAAGAGTTTGTTTATTAAATACTGTTTGAGAATTCGGATATTGTTTTGGCACACAATTTCTAAATACTAATGATATTAACTTTTGAGTAAATGTCGTATTTAACTTTTAAGTACAGTAATACATCGATATTAGTTTCGGTATTACGAACTTTGAAATTTTTACCATTATCTTATAAATAAAGCTAAAAATAATTTAAAATAATAAATAAATACACTGAAATGAATAAATCAGTAATAAATTTATTGATCAACAGTACAATATAAATAAGAATAAAATTATAACAATAAGATATGGATTCTAAAGCGTTGAGCATCGAGATGGTCATATATTGTTTGTTAACATTGGTATAGGCTGTCAGTACAGTATGTTTCTTTTATTTGTGCCAGTTTTTAGTTTTAATACTATACATTATAAAATATTGTATAATATTATTTTCAAATAAATTGTCTTTGTTTACAATATGAATTGTAAGTTATCAAGTGTTTATAGTATGAAATGGTAACTTATGAAGTGTTTATAGTAAGAAATGGTAACTTATGGAGTGTCTATAGAATGAAATGGTAACTTATGAAGTGTCTATAGTATGAAATGGTAACTTATGAAGTGTTTATAGTATGAAATGGTAACTTATGAAGTGTCTATAGTATGAAATGGTAAATTATGAAGTGTTTATATTATGAAACGGTAAGTTACGAAAGCTGGGAACGCATCCTCATAGTAATAATGTTACAAGTTATTCAATATACGAGCGAAGCTCCAGGAACACATCTACTTCGTATATCGATGTATTATTGTATTTTGCGAACTTTTATTAAAATTCATGTCTATTCTACATCATGTATTACTAGTATTTTATTCTTAATAGCATGTAACAATTAATGACTTATAGTTATTCATCGGAATCAATTATGCATACTTATTGGTAAATTGAAAGAAAAAATATATACAGTAAGGTTTAGCACTGCAGTTATTTAACCCATAGTTATAAACTTTTTACAATATCTGACATTTACTTTATCCACTTTATGTTCTAGATCCGTGTCACAAAAAGTTCAAAGTTGTAAAATATGAAAATATGTGTATGCATAAAATAAGTTGTGGGAACATTATAAACTGACAGTGAACCCCACTATTCGAGTTGGTAGTAGGTGGTATTGATTAGGTGCCTTTCTTCTAATCTAGTATTTCTAAATTAAGGACAACTAGTGCAGATAGCTCTTGAGTAACTTCGCGCGAAATTTGGCAAACAAATATAATACGTCTTTAAAATGTCAGCTAGATGAATTAGAATTATTACTTACTTTTTGTGTGTTTTCTTAGCACAAAGCTACAAACTGGGCTATCTGTGCTCTGTCCACCGTGAAAATCAAACCCCAGAGTTTAGAGGTTAAATTCCATAACATATTGCTGACCTACTGGGGGACAGATACTTTTGTTTCACGTGGAATACTTTTGAATAAATTATTATCTCAGTAATTTTATGACTCTACACTTTTGCTAAATTTGTAATTGATAGTTTCACAGTCGATATGTATATTTTTTATAAATATCAAAATGTATAGAGATTAAATCATGAGTGAATGACCAGAGTTTTACAAACTTTTTGAGTGTATCAGTTTTAATTGTAAACGTAAAGAGGAAAGTATTATGTAATAGTACTTGGATATTGGTTTGTTTGTTTGTTTGAAGTTAAGCACAAAGCTACACAATGGGCTATCTGTGCTCTGCCCACCACGGGTATCGAAACCCGGATTTTAGCGTTGTAAGTCCGCAGACATACCGATGTGCCACTGGGGGGGAATTGGATATTGGTAGTAGAGATAAAAAAAAACTGAAAATGGCGATGAGCCACTATAAACCTTTTGGGCTGCACTAATACGATTTGACTGTGATCAACAATATGTTCAAACGTTTAAAAATATTATATTATTTCACAAGAAGAACTGCTTTCAATTCTTTCAGGGATGCTGTGGCAGACGAATATTTCTTTAAAATATATAGGTTCATATGATGGAAGTACAATGAATCTCTGGAATACCTTTCGTAGTTTTCTCTCGAATTTACAGTTTGAGATCATTGCCCAAATTTGTGTGCAAACGTTCGTTCCTCGAAGTTATGAATGACTTTTGTTCTACCATGACATTCCAGAAACTCGGGCTCAAAATACGGGGTTTTTTGGCGTCCAGAAGTGAAGTCTGAGAAGATTTTCTTTACTATTGACTTTCTGTTGTGTTTCACAATGTAGCTAAATGTGCGTATCTCGATTTAACATGGTGATCTTTCAGCAGCTGTTTCTTTGCACTTTGTTTTTTTAGTTGTAGTCTTGTTGATATCATTTTAGACAGTGTTTCTTTTGACACATTAGCAATATGTGCAAGCTTGGTTATAAATGCATTTAATATGTCGTTCTTTACCGTCTTTCTTTTTGCAAAGACAGTCAGAACCTTTCTGAATATCATGATGTCTTACTGAAGCACGGCAGAGAAGGCTAGTCTTTATATTAAATACGCTTTAAAAATCTGGAAATAAAGTTGCATGTGACTTGTACGTTCAATGTTTAAGTAAGTAAATTTTTAGGAAGGTAGCTCAATAACCTTTTGAAACTAATAAGTGTTTCCTTTCTATTCCAATATGTATGTTTAATGAAAACTTTAACATAAGTGACTCCTTTCTAGTTGTTTTTAATGTCAATTCTGTTTAAATTCTACTATTTGCCATGTCGTTGATAAAAATCGAGATAATTTAGTGAATTTAAAGGTTCTTTCATTTATATTATGAATTTATCGACGAAGGTCAAAAAGGTGATGACGTATGTACAATAACTAGTATACTGCTGGGTTACGCCAGTCCCACCGGCTGGTGGAAAGATATAGTTCTACGAACTAAGATTAGACAAACTGGAAAGATTTTCATTCGGAGACAAAGCTCTGGGATATAGAAATATTAATTTTGCTTTAGAAACTTAAACATCAAAACATAACTTTCTTTATTTTTCATGTAATTATGTTTTATTTAAATTATACCTGATTTAATTTCAGTGTTTGTTTGGTGGAACTGAAAGGTTAATCTCAAGAACACCTTAAAAATCACATATGTGAAAATTTTAAAGTTAAGAATGGCTGTCAACATGGTTGTTTCGTGACCGACCTTTTCCTTGTTATATGTCGGTCATACGTTAGTAGTAAGGGAGGCACTTCACAGACAGAAGTTGACATGCCGCCATGACACATGAAGACGGTACCTGTGGAGAGGGGAGACGTCATAATTCCACAAGTTGATACCAGAGGGCGCACACTTAGGGACGCGTTGGTAGGCTGCCATGACAGGCGGCCATTATGTCATAGTTCACCAAAGTGCCACCAGAGGGCGCAAAAACATATGAGGGCTGAAATTATAGTTCGATACCGGACAGGCGGCCATAACTGATGATTACATAATAATATCACAAAGTAGAGAACGTGTTTCTAGGCTGCCATGACAGACAGCCATGTCTCATATAACACTTGTCTCGTCATGTTGGTAAATTAATCATTAATTAATAAATGAAATCATCCTTAAAAGGACGCTTCTCACTAATTAATTAGTTAATCCTAAAAAGGACATTGAATGCTAATTCATTAGTTAATTAATTAATAATTAAATCATCCTATCACAAAGTAGAGAACGTGTTTCTAGGCAACCATGACTCATACAATACATGTCTCAACAGGAATATAACTAATCACTAATTAATTAAATCATTTATTATTAAATCCTCATAAAAATGGACGCTTAAGACTAATTCATTTGTTAATTAATTCGTCCTAAAAAGGCTGCTTAACACTAATTAATTAAAACATATATAATTATTTCATTTACAATTAAATCATCATAAAAAAGGATGCTTAATACTAAATCATTAATAATTAATTCATTAAATCGTCATAAAAAAAAGGACGCTTAATGCTAATTCATCAGTTAATTAAATTTCCTTACCATTTATATCTCCTACAAGGACAATACAATAATTAAAACTTACTCAAGTGATTAAAGCTTTTCAATACTAAATTATTACATTTCCTGTCCAAAAAGGACTATATCTTACTCAATCAAGTGTTTTAAGCAACATGGATATACAGAACGCATTGGTACAACATCTACGAAATAGAGAACATATTGCCATGACACAATGGCGCATACAATACATGACCTAAAAATGGTGATATCATGCAATAATTAAAACTTATATTTTGACTTTCTGCAACATTTTACATCGTCAATAAAACGTTTATTATGCAATAACGTTTTTACTAATTTGACTTTATACAACAAAATAATTTACACATGTTACTTTATCTCATGTTTTACAAAGGCGGACTTTTACATATGTATATACTTAATTACCATTATTTCCGTAAGATTTAACAAATATACTGTGACATTACTTCTACAAAGACATCAACGTCTAGATTTAATTATGTTAAAATTATCTGAAATAAAAATAATAAATGACTGACTTACTATATCGATCCATTTTCTAAATAACCATTGATCAACTCCAAATGCATACAAAACTTGTGAAAGTATGGAATACATAACTTCTTTCAATGCGCCGATTACTAATATTTAAAATACCACAACTTTCAGACTGGCCACTATCATGAAATATACACACAGATTTCTACATGTCATTTCTATTATAAGTTCATAAAATTAATGAACCGTATCTGATGTCAAACTAGAACACGCATATATACAGTTATTGTGACAACACGTGATCAAATGTAAAGCTTTTTTTCTATAGCACCTTGGAGATATTGACGTCACCAAGATACAGTTTACCAAGACTGACTCGTTGAAGTACTCTGAAATATAGAAGTTTAGAAAAATAATCGAATTAGTATTGTCAAACCTTGATACTATTTAAATTTACTTCAAATGCATATAATCTGGATACAGACTTTTAAGAATTACAAAGGTCGCCAAATGGTCACACACACACATAGAAAACACAAACCCACTACGGAAATACTGACATCATTATCGTCTACTCTTCAAACGGCCTTAGAAGAGAGGATAGCCATAGTCTGAAGTGTTTGATATTCAAGGCCACTGACCGTCTTGGTTAAAAAAATATACAAAATTAGAAAAAACATAGGATTAGAATGATCAAGTCTATTTCGCAATAACTGGCTAGCTAGTCCAAGGACCAAGTGATTAAAGTGTTGATAACAATTCAGTGTTTGTCATATATTATTATAAATACAAAACATCAGTTACTATAATAATAAACTCTACATAATATTCACTTTTACAGATCGCTAAATATATTCAATTAGACTATAATTATAATACACAATATATTTAATAATGAACTCTACACATGTACTGAATTACTGAAATTTAAAAGTTATTTACATAACGTTTAAATGATTGGTTTATTACTCAGCATAGATTATTACGAAAAACTGTAAGAGTGTTTCAGTCTGCTTAGAATAAAATGAAAGTTATATTCAAACTTATATTTAGGGAAAACCTTTTTAAATAAAAGTGAATTATAACACACATTGTTGCTATCTACGTATTTACAATATATTTAATGTTTATGGGAACATTTTATTAAAATAAAAGTAAATTACAATACACTATCTATATATTTATATAACATACAACAAACGGTCAGACTGTATCAGTAGGCTTAGAACAGAACAAAAGATCGATTCTACTTAAATATATGATATTTCATTATTATTCTAATTATCTCATGTTTCGAAATATTGTTACTGTCTATTAGACGAAGATTTCAAACCATTGACAACGGCCAGTTTTGACTTATCTAGCAGCAGTGATAAGTTTATTTTAAATCAAAGACAGGACAAAGGTTTTGTTTGCGTAAACATTTCCATCAGGATTTATTACACTGACAATCAATATTATAAAAGTTACACACAGAACATACTAATTGTCAAAAATATACTTGGGAACACCAATCACCATGATGTAATACCCCATTTCAAACACAATTTCAGCTGTATATGTTACAAGTTTCGTAACTGTCTTTGTTAACATTAAAAATACACGAATCATACGACTAGATTTAATCATATTACAAGCCTAGTAATTAATTTTGCTACAACTAAAAAGTAATAAATGAATGACTTACATTCATCCAGAGATTTTCTATTAAAAGTTCATAAAACATTGAAACTAACTGGTAAGCCCATATGATCTCGAACTTGTGTCAAGGATGATCACGCGGTTACACTCATACACTTATGCTACGAGCGAAGGATGATGATCTCATTGTTCCAATAGAAAGAAGAGGCAGTCACTATCTTAGGAGTCGTCACATATTATTCTTCAACCAATCAGTTTACTAATATAGAAAATACTTAAAAGAGAAAAACGTATAATTTTCTATAGATTATTCACTTTAAGTTTAAATCATACCATACAAATAAAACTCGTAAAACATTGCAGCTATCATTCTATGTCATTGAAAGCCACTAAAATAGGAATAAAATTCAAAGTTCTGTATGAGTTCAGTAACATTTCAGTTAATCTTTGACACTGTTCTATTCTTAGGTGGTCGTCACGTGGCCACTGACGCATAACAGTTGAAGGGCTTTCATCACTAATAATCAGAATGATGCAGCTCTACTACATTGAAGAAAGAATGATGAACCAGCCTTTAATTGTAAGTATATCGTTACATACATTTCTTCGCTTATAAATCTAATTTCTGTGTTTCTTTAACACAGTGATGATTATTTTCAGTCATATTCATTATAATAAATCATGTTGATGGGATTTACTAATTATATATTATTTTATATTTTAGACTATTGTAACGAAAAGAAATGATGTTGACAATAATGAAATGGTGAAAAAAAATCAAATCTAGCAGCGAAGAAGAACCAGTAAAACATAAGTAACGTGAAGATTTGTTTGTTTGTTTGTCTTAAATTTCGCGCAAAGCTACACGAGGGCTATCTGCGCTAGCCGTCCCTAACTTAACAGTGTAAGACTAGAGGGAAGGCAGCTAGTCATCACCACCCACCGCCAACTCTTGGGCTACTCTTTTACCAACGAATAGTGGGATTGACCGTCACGTTATAACGCTCCCACGGCTGAAAAGGCGAGCATGTTTGGTGTGACGGGTATTCGAACCCGCGACCCGCAGATTGCGAGTCGAGCGCCCTAACCACCTGGCCATGCCGGGCCCACAACGTGAAGAAGCACCTGGTTCATCTCATGCCTATCCTATTGGGAATGGTCGTTACATCACTCTATCAACTTACGAGAATAATTTGAATATTCATATTCGACAGTTCAAGGACTTTGGAAAGGGAAAGCTATATCCAACCGAGGAAGGTATCACTTTTTTTTTTCAAGAAAATGGGAAGAATTTAAACAGTGGATCTCAAACATTAGTGTTGTTGTACAGAGCAAAACTGAACAAGATTTTCATCTAGAAGGACGGAATCGTGTAATCCGTGTTGCATGTGTTAATAATATCCTCTCTATATCGTTTACGTATAGATTTGATTATCATGGTATTGATATGTTATCTCATAAGATCCTCTTTGTTTTATCAAATTCAGAATGGCAGAATTTATTTGCACAGATTTCTCATTTTATACTTACTTAAATACTGTAGTTCATAATGAAAAGTAACTGAATAGACTAAACCAAAGCTTATTAATATATATGATAAACAAGTGTACCCCAATTTACAACTACTGAAGAAAGAACGGTGTGAAATCGACGATCTTACTCAAACACGTTATTCTTGTAACACGCTAATTCATGAGATCAATGTTGACAAAAGTGAATAAATTTATTGTTCAATCTATAATTAATCAAAGAGTCATAATTATCAACGAAACTTTCTGAGATGCTGTAGAAAAAGGCACTTTAACCAAGAGTTATCAAATATCATATATTTGATGAAAGAACAAACAAAATCTGTAAAATAACTATGATAATAATAAAAAAGTTTTGATAAAATATTTCAATTGTTTCTTGTGATAAATGATACTGTCTTTCACATTTTATAAATCCAACATGATTATACAGAGAGTCACAGCCTATCGAATATACTTGTTCAAGTAGAATATCATAAATGAAACGTAAGGGGCAAGTAATCAAAGTTTCGTTATTTTAGAAGTTATACAAAACATTTAAAATCTAAATTATCTGCCCCCATTGTAGGTATGATATGATTATTTTTATACACATGTATAATACAGATCGAAGGAGCTCTGTAATATTTTTATATATTTGTTAGTCACCTGATCACCCCTTGACAACAACAAGTATTTATACAAAATGGACAAACAAACAATTACTTCTAACCGAGAGACGGCTAGCGCAGATAGCCCTTAAGTATCTTTGCGCGAAGTTCAACAAACAAACCGAGCATTTTGCGGTATTACACTTACAGCTCAGCTTCGGGATTCGGAATGACCGATTTAAGCGTTTTGGAAAAACGATGTATTCTCAATGAAATCGAATTAGAACAACTGATGGCCAGACCACTTTTCAGAGAAAAATCTCTCCCACTAATCCTATGAAACTCGCTGTATCTTCGTAAGTTATCTTTCTTTATCTTAGGATTAGCATACACAGTTCTATTTGTCGTAAAATAAGCAGATTTGCAAGAAATAGAACAAAATTCCAGATTTATCTGGCTGAGAGTAGTTTAGTAAACGCGTTCTAGTTAAGTTAGGGATCGTTTATAAAATAATAAAACTCTAACGATTTTACACAATAAATGAATATTTCTATTTAAGATATACGAATACAATTCAAGTAATACAGCAGCAGAAATGCTAGAAAGTATAGGTTACTGCTGTAAATAGTTTTACATCACCACTTGGGTCAGTTTTGGTACTTTTGATATACAATATTAACACTTTTAATAGCATCTTGGACTGTTTGTTTGTTTGTTGTTAAGCACAAAGCTACACAATAGGTTATAAGCCTTCAGATGCACCGCTGAGCCACTGGGGGCTTCTTGGACTGTACATTTTTAAACTCATAGATAATACTAAAATGCTACAAATATTTGATTTTACTGAGAATATTTCTCTTGTGCAAAAAGTTCTTAACAGCCTTAGAAAGTGATCTATCACGTAAATTTATTACGATATTGAAAGGTATAAACCTTTGTACACAGAGTATCAAAATTTTGAGAGGACACTTTCATTTCTGAGAAGAGCACTAGTGTTCTAGGAATAACTAAAAAAATATTTAAGTACAATTACTGATAAAACTGAATTTGAAGAGCAAATGGATTAAGTTTTTGGTTCTATTTATGAAAATTTTGAATATAAGAGTAAGAAAGTTATCGTAACTTTGTATAAGACTGGTATGGTCTCATCTGGAATTGAAGTAGTGCATGATTTTGGTTCTTTTAGTACAGGAAAGATATCTACTTGTTGGAATGAGTACAAAAAGTGTACTAAAATGATTATGTGGGTTACTTGTAAAAATAGTAGATGAAGCTATAGTTTTTCAAGAGGTTCAGAAAGGCTCAATTTACTTTGAGGAATTAAAGAAAGAAAAAATCAAACTAGGTGAAGAAGTTTTGGAAGTAAGAAAGACAATATAAAATCTTATTGTAAAAAATTGCTTTTAATAAGCAAAAGTGGGAATATTCTAATTTACTTAGGTGTGCAATGTAAGAAGTTTCTAGACTAAGGAAGCATGACTAAGTAAGGCACTTACAACTAAACAAAGAATTTGAAATGGCTATGGTGAGGATGAGGAAGGGAAGGATCCCAAAGTGATTGTACAAGAGGAAACTCTTGTTAAGTTATACAAGAAGATTTGTTTTTGCATTTTGTGTAGAAAAAAAAGAGAAAGTTGGTAGTTTAGTGGCAGGAACTAAGGATGGTGCTAGTAATGACATATGTGAGGAGTTTTATTTCCTTAATACAGCAAGTATCTTTTAAGTTATTCTTCATTTGATGCAGAACGTACTATACCAACTTCTTTTTCACTTGCTGCTCCACATCATCTAGATGTTGGTAAAAGGATGTAGAATTAGACAGACTTGGCTGTAAATGCTCTTTTATTCGAGAACCTGGGTGGCGAGTCATTGACCAATGTAATCTCATTGACAACCAGAACAAACAAACCGATAAACCACAAATGAGTGTTATACTTTATCGTTCAATCTTTTTAATAAAAAAAGCTGTCAGTTCTCAACACAGGTTTTAAAAAAGCAGGCAGTTGTGGATAATTAACGCATCAAATATTCCTAAATGTTTTCAGTAGGCATTTTTTTCACCAATATATCGTAATCCAACAGAGAACGTTAATTTCGGCGTATCATATACTTTGAGGGTGTAATACATAGTCAAGAATTACCACTAGTTGTGTTAGTAACAGATAACTGGAAAACATTTTAAATAAATCTATTTATATATTTTCAATGTCTTTGTAAAACAAATAATAATCACTTAGAGTATGATAAGGTCTATAGATTAAGTTATTGATTAAGTTCTTCTTATATTTGATAGGTATAAAACTATTGATATGACTAAATAACTTTGCTTGTTTGTTTTTGAATTTCGCGCAAAGCTACACGAGGGCTATCTGCGCTAGCTGTCCCTAATTTAGCAGTGTAAGACTAGAGGGAAGGCAACTAGTCATCATCACCCACCGCCAATTCTTGGGCTACCCTTTTACCAGCGAATAGTGGGATTGACAGTCACATTATAACGCCCTCACGGCTGAAAGTCGAGCATGTTTGGTGGGACGGGGATTCGAACCCACGACCCTCAGATTGCGAGTCGAACGCCCTAACCACCTAGCCATGCTGAAACAAACAACTTTGAATACGTTGATTCATGATAGGCACCTGTTTTAATAAGCAATCTCTGGCTGAATGACAACAGAAATGGTAGGGCGCTTTGTAGGAATCATACCTGGGATTTAGTCTTTTTTCTGAAAATTTACAAGAATGTGCATCAGTTGATAAGGAATTCAGAGGTGTATGTTAATATATAATTGGATGACGCTCAAAGATGTTATGATTGGTCTTCGTCAGTATAATTGGGTAATTATTCACAATAATTTAGACACTAGTTGTAGTATGTTATCTATGGAAAACTGACCATTCCCTAACTTTTTGTGAAACCTGTGAGGAACTGCCGAGGCAACAAGCCAGAATATTTGAGTGCTTGTCCTTGTCGAGATGGAAACGAGGTCGGATTCAAAGCTAATCTGCAAATGTAAAGTATCAAAATGTATGAGGTTTTACAAGGTTAGCAGGTGCGGATGCGATTACGATGACGCACCAATTGCTCAACACTGTAGTCGTAAGGGAGGTCATAAAAATTTCCGTGGAGGAGGTGCTGTCAAGCGCCCAAAGAAAAGTACGCATACACACAGGAACGGTAAATTAACTTGCCGTCAAATGAAGTCAAGATTCAATTGGCATATCTCGACGGTGCGAAGGAGAAGAACAATTTAAGATCAAGTAAAGAACGGAGAACACGAACACTTTTTTTCTGAATTAAGTGCAAGGATAAGAGTAGAGAGGAGTCCTAGAATAAGAGCGAAGAGCTTTACCATAGCGTGCAGGTGGTCCACTTTGGTAGGATGGAAGCACCTTAACGACGACTCGGATCATTAAAAATAACACAGTAAAATGATTTCTGGATCATCCCTTACACAATCATTATCTTATTCTTGGGCTTCCAGATCTGATGGTATATCCCACTATCTATATCTAACAAAATAGTCCTATTTTCTGCAGT